TTTGATAGTGAATTGACAGGAAAGTGGTTAATGAGAGAAGGGGAAGACATGCAGCAAAGGTCGCGAGGCCGGGAATCGAACCTGCGACATCGAGGACTAAAGCCTTTTTTCCTTTTTTTTTTTGCTTTGTGAGGCAGAAGCTTGGGAACTGCAGCTCTGAGGATAAGCAGCGCCTCAAAGGCGGGGCTAGATCCACCCAGCTGTTTTGCACAATGATTGCCATGGAGATTAAAGGATTTCCCAAACATGCATGAAAGAATCAAAGCAACAGTCCAGTTCGTTTTGATGGAGTAATATTACAGAATGATGTAAAGCTCAAAAGTCAATTTTACATAATACAGGCCCTTTAAGTCAGAGAAGCCAGAAAGATGTTTTAATGCTTTTCATACATCCGATTATGTTTTACAGTGAATTATGAATAAATTTATATCAAACAGCTATCAGATGTAGATGGTTATCGTCTGCTAAATTCCTCATAACTTGGTTGTCCAACGTGTTCAGGATTTTAATGTATTTATTTTTAATGTTATTTTTATTATGTTGATTAAATATTTTTAAGAATTTTTGTGCCTTAAATGTCTTGAGTTTGTAGATTTTGGAGTTTTAAAGCTCTATAACTGGTTTTATGTGAAATGTTACAATTTCATTATTGTAATAATTGAAAATTTATACTGATGTAAATCCACAAAGATAGTCATAATAACAAACATTTATTGATTTTCATTGGGTTTACAGTAAAAAGCTTCACAGAGTTCTCATCGGCCAATCATCTGAGCCTGATCTGGCCAGCTGGATGCTGATTGGCTGTTGGGGCTCATGCCCACCATTTCCTTTTGTGTTCAACAACAAGAGACAGAGACCAGAGACTGGAGACGTTTATGTCCAAGTGTCCACAGCAAAGACAGGACAAAGACAAATAAAAATGGTAGAAAACAATAACCCAGCTCCACTTGGTTCGGTTCTGTTGGAGTCTGGTCAGATTCTGACTCAGTGAGAACAGTAAACTGGCCGGTGTTACACCATAATCTGTGACAATAAGAGGAGCTGTTGCATTTTAACACAAATGTAACCTTTGTTGTAACCTTTGTTGTAACCTTTGTTGTAACCTTTGTAGGGCGGCGGCGGAAACAAACGCAAAAGGAGAAATAAAGAAAATTTTAAAAAAATAATCAAAAGTAACATTTGACCACAAAGATTATGACTATCAGGGAATATATACAGTCACAGAATATGAAGCTCTTATCAGAAACTGTGACCAACTGTAACTTATAGTAAAATACTAAACTCTACTACTCAAGTATTTAATTGTTATGTGTTGGAATAAATAACTTTTTCGCATGATAAATTAAAATTCCTTAAGCTTTATTTGTTGTTTTTCTCTTTTCTCTTTTCCTACCAAAGTCTTTGGTCTCAACTAGCCCTTTTTTGAAGGACAATATTCATAAATTATTTTATTTGCCGTTTCTGTTGTTTTGTTTGTTTATTCCGGATATCTAAAAGGTCTTTCAGTTCTCGTGTTAAATATTCATTAGAATTTAATCTTTGAGAATGGGTTCTTGCATTATTATACTATTAGCATAATTTAGTTGAAAATGGTTTCAAAATAACAATATTATTGCAATAACTTCTGGGACAATTTATCGTCCAGCAAAATTGTTTTTTGTGACAGGTCTATGTAAATATTTCCAAAAGTAGTCATATTATTAGTGATCAGATATTACTGTTTATTTGTTGCTTGTTTTGTATTTTATTATTTTGCGTTTGCTCCCCCCCTCCCCCTCCACTTTTTAAGCATTGCGTTAAAATGCAACAGCGCCCCCTACGGTCACAAGGTCATCCTCACGCTGCCAGGAAGTCGCAGAACTGAGCGAAGTCCCTCTGCATGAAGTTGTGGCTCAGCTGCAGGTCGTCCTCCGAGGGGACGTACTGGACGCTGTCCTCCTGCAGGAAGACGCGAGGCCCCGGCGGTCCTTGTGGCGGCGGCTCAGGGCCGTCCAACAGGCCGCCCCTGGCGTTCTCCAGGACGCCCAGGTATGAGTCCATGTCTGTGAGCTCCAGGTCGCTGTCGGAGCTGCAGCCGCTGTCGCCACCCACCGAGTCGGAGCGCAGCTGCTGCATCTGGTACTTCTCCTGCATCAGGAACTGGTTGGTGTTCTGGGGGGCCTGCATGCCCCGGGCCCCCTTGCCCTGGACGTTGACCGGACGCAGAGACCGCAGTGGCCTGCGGGGGCGCTGCGGGCGATGGGGGCGGGGCTTGTGGCGGGGAAGGCGCGCCCTGGGCCCCCTCTGCCTCCGGCTCTGCAGGCGGCCGCTGCAGCTCTTAGTCCAGCCGGCCGTCCAGCCGGGCGTCTCGCCGCTCTTCCTGCGGATGTCGGCGTCTCTCAGCTTCTCGTCCTCCCGCCTCTGCTGCTGGAAGATCCTCCTACACATGATCTCTGAGAGCATTTCTTGTGTTTCTCACCGCCTCCTCCTGCTTCACATCGCTTCTGCTTCAGATCACGGCTGATCCTCCTCTCTGTCGCTCTACCTTTTCACCACTCTGGCTCTTTTCTTCTTGACCTCTGGCTTTGGCTGGTGCATCGCCCGCTCTTCCTCCGCCTGCAGCAGCAGCTTGCCTGCTGGTCTGACTCTCTTCTCCCCGATGTCTCTTCTTCTCCTGACTGAAGGCTGGATCAGCTGCTGGATCGGGTGCGGAATGAATGCAGTGAACTGATGAGGCGTTCAGGGAACGTCAGGCTGCTTGGAGTTCGGTCAGGGAGTGTGATGCTCTCAGCTCTGACAGCACTCGATGTGTCTCTTCCTCCTCCTCCTCACAGCCAACATAAAGAGCTGGACTGGTCCACTTCCTGCAGAGGAAGGGGGGCGGTGCCTTCAGGCGCCTCCGGTTGGGGATTAAACCTCTGAACATGACAGAAGGTCAAAGATGTCGGTGGATCTGCTGAGAATTGGACCTCTGGACCCAGACGGATGAAGCTCTTTGTCTCCAGCAGAGAGCGTTACTCCCCCTGCAGCCTGATGATGGTTCAGTCCGGTTCGGTTATAGCTGCTGTAATCTGATCCACAGCTACCACCCCCCACCCCCATCCTGTCTGACAACAACAACTCGAGCAGCTCTGTGGCTGCTGCAGCACATTAGAGCACCGTCCACTAAATCTGCAAGGTTAAAGGCAAATTAAACAACCCCTGACATTTATAATTAAACTATTATGTTTATTAATAAAGTTGGACGTTGTGAACTAACTAATAAACTTTTTATTCGTAATACTTTAAAATTCAGAGACACTATAAAAATACTGGAAATAACAAAACTAAAGTTATCTGTTGATCTAAAGAGGAACCATAGAGTCAGCATGCAGCTTCAGTTATTACAGCTAGAAACTGGAGATCAGGCCCAAAATGTATTTATGTATTTCTGAACATTCAGAAATACATAAATATAGTTACAAAGTCGGTCTTCTATCACTTGAAGAACATTTCCAGGATGTTCTTCCTGGATCTCTAGGTCCCAGCAAGATCTAGAGAAACTCAATGAGTGTATCTTGAGTTGCATTGATTACAGCAACAGGTCAAATTAAAAAATCAATTCTTCAGCTGCAGCTGATCCAGATCGCTGCTGCTGGTGTTCTGACTAAAAACAGGAAGAGAGAGAACATCACCCAGTTCTAAAGTCCTTCACTGAGAGAATAGACTTTAAAATACTGTTGTTAGTTTATACATCACTGAACGGCTTAAAGATCTGCTGCTGTCTTAGCAACAGATCTTTGCTAAGACAGCAGGTCTGTTGCAAGACAGCAGACCTCTCAGGTTTTCTGGTTCTGGTTCTGCTCTGCATCCAGAATCCGAGCCAAACATGGAGAAGCAGCATTCAGCTATACTCCACAAATCTGGAACAAACTTCTAGAAAACTGCAAAGCAGCAGAAACACTGAGTTCCTTTAAATCAAGACTAAACCCCCACTTGTTTAGAGTTACTTTTGAACCATAATAACTGGAATATTGACCAGCATATTTGATGTGTAATAATTAACAACAAGTTTGATGATGGTAAATCATCAAAATATAAAGCTGAGAAGATTAATCAGAAACCAGGTCAATGGATGAATCAAGCAGGGGGCATGCTGAAGACAAAAAGAAAAAAGAAAGAGTCTTCCTCAGAACAGATGCCTTCTGTCCCGTCCCTGCTCCAGCAGCGCCACCACGCGGTTGGAATTTATTACTCCACTTTAAAAACATCCGTGAAACCGCAGGGTGGGTAAGCATGATGAATACCCGCTCAGAGACATGTGAGCTCTAGAAATTCACCTTTAACCCTGGAGTCGTGCAGTGATTTTTTATTTTGGAGAATAAAAAATGACGTTTTCATGTTTTTTGTTTTGTTTTTTGTTTTTGGGAAGTTTGATGGAAATGTTGCAAAGTTGAACATAAAACATGATTTAGTTTGCATTTTGTGCAAATTTTGCACAAAAATGACACATGTACACACGTTTTAGACATTGCATTTCTTTTTTTTTTTACTTTCTTCTTGTTCCATTAATCTGGGTCACTGAATCACAGATATCTTGCTGAGTTTAGGAGTAGAGGCCGTTGCTGCTCGGTTTGCATTTCCTATCCAATCCGAACAGTAGAGTTCAATCTAGAAAAAATAAAGAAAAATCAACATTTTAACTTTTTGTTGTTTGATGTTGTGATATTACAAAATGGGTCTAACAGTGTTAATAATTATATAATCAATAACAAATAAATAAAAGTAGGAATTAAATTGCAGTAATAGTGTATTTAAGACACATTTAGAAAAAGGATAAATAGACCAAAATGACACAGAAGGCTCTTTATGTCAAAAACTTTATTAAACTGCTTAAAATGCATCATCCGGCCACATCGGCCATTAAATATGTAACAAAACAACAAAGTCAAAGCTATGCAAAAGCTGAATAAAACCAACAAAATGAGTTTCAGAGCCAAGAGACAGAAAAATGAAAACAAATCAGATCACATGACTCCAGTTTAACAACTTCCTGTTTGTCAAAAGAATTGTTAATAAAGTTTTTTTTTTTGAAGCGGTCAGCAGCTGCTGCATCATAACAAACATGGCGGCGGGTTCTCTGTGACGCGGTTTTAATTAAATGTTGGCTTTTTTAACGCTCTAGTCGGTTCGGCGTGTTTCTCCGCGGATTAGGATGGAGCCCGGCCCTTTTCCAGAGGCGGTTCCGGCCCGGAAGGTGACTGTGGTCGGTTCGGAGCTGGTGGAGAACTACACGGTACGGCTGCTAGCTAGGGCTGTGGCAAGACTGATGCTAAATGAAACATTCAGACAGGCTGCAGCCCCTCTGTTTGACAGTCGAAGGCTTTAGATCTGCCGTTGTCATGGTAACACATTCTGTCTCGTTTAATGAAACAGTCATCAGGGCTACATCACACCCGGTGATGCTGCTACATCACACACGGTGATGCATTTTAGCGATTAAAGCTTACAGTTACAGGAAGGATCAAATCTAGTTTATCATAAGTTTGTAATAAATAAGACCAGAAAAACAAGATTTCAAAAATTTTAACACTGAGTTATGGCTCTTAAAATCACGGGAAAGGCAGCAGACGCTCAGTGAGTCTCTCCATAAGGAGGGGACGCTACAAAAGGTCAATTAGAAGCTGATTGTTCATACTGGGCTTTATGCAAGTACATTAATGGAAAGTTAAATGAAAGGAAAATGATGTGCAACATGTGCATCCAATCCAAGTCAGCTGTTACATTCCAGAGCCAAAGACAACATCAGAAGCTTCTCTCCAGCGTTGCTCAATGGGCCGAAGTGTTCTCTCAGATCAGATTAGGATGAAATCCTAAAACATTTAGAGATCCAGAAGGACCACTAGATGAAATACTTGTCAATAGGATGTTAAAGGTCACCAGAAGCAACAATCACCAGTCTAAATCAATCTGGACTTCCAGAACCTCAGCAGAACCACAGGGTATTCTCCTCCATGCCATGCTGCATTGACTCAGTGATGCATCAATGCAGCACCAACTGAGCACCAGATTACCGTAACAGTTAAACAGATCTGCTGTGTTTTGATGCAGTGACCATGGAGACGGCTCTTTGTTGTTTTCCTTCAGGTCTACATCATCGATGTAATGGATGGTCTGCACCGGTGGACGGTGAAGCACCGCTACAGCGATTTCTACGAGCTGCATGAGAAGGTGAGCAACAGCCCATGACATGGTGACAGTTTTAATAAATATGTAAAAAAAAAACATATTTTTTTATAAAAACAAACTGCAGCTTTAACTTCTTTTCCCTCCCATCTCAACCCCATAGTTTTCAGTTGTATTATTGTTTGTTGTGTAACTGTTGAACACTTTGAGGACTGTGGTTTGCCAGGATTTGAGGAGAAAGGCGTCAAACTGTAACATTGTCTGTGTTTTACTCCTGAATCTGCAGCTGACGATGGAGAAGAAGGTGGACCGCCGTCTCCTTCCTCCCAAGAAGATCCTGGGGAAGAACTCCAAGAGTCTGGTGGAGCGGCGGCAGAAGGAGCTGGAACTCTACCTGCAGACGCTGCTGCAGCAGTTTCCACAGGCCTCGCCCACTCCGCTCGCCTACTTCCTGCACTTCCACCTCTATGTGAGTATCACCTGAGCAGGTGCACTATGACCAGCTCGTTTAATTATGGCTGACAGAAAACTTCCTGCTCCAGTTTTAAAAAAATAACTAAAATCAACTTTTTTGAGCATTGCATCATGCCATAATGTTATTCACTCATCAAAACCACACTGCGGTGGTGCTTTGATTCTTTCATGCCTGTTTGAGAAATCCTTTAATCTCCGTGGCAACCATTCTGCTGTTTAAAACACCTGATTGGACCTAGCCTCACCTACAAGGTGCAGCTCCTCCTTAGAGCTGCAGGGGGGTACAGAGCACCTGCTCTGCTACAAAACAACCAGACTGTTTTATTGTCTTCCTGTTTCATAGCAGCTTGATGTTGAAACAAAAGGAGAATAGAAAGTCAGACTGAAACTGTGGCTGTCAGGCAGGGGACTGGTGGTCATAATCAGCAGTTCTCCTTTTCTCTCTGTGATGTTCAGGTTTTTCTCTGCGATGTTTTTTCAACTGATAGTTGATTTCTGGTTCTTGTTAAATCCAAAATGAAATCCTTTTAATCTCTTGTTTCAGGAGATTAATGGCATCACAGCAGCGCTGGCGGAGGAGCTCTTCCATAAAGGTCAGAGGGACCATTTTACACCGTTTTTAGGCGAAGAGGCAGAACCACCGGAAACTTCTGGATCTGCTGAGTGAAATGCCGGTCACATCTAGCTGCTGTGTCTCTGTACTGCAGGGGAGCAGCTGCTGCAGGCTGGAGAGGTGTTTTCTCTGCGTCCGCTGCAGCTTTACTCCGTCTCCCAGCAGCTCCGCCTGGCCACGCCCACCTGCCTCAGCGGAGACGCCAGAACGGACCTGGGACACATCCTGGACTTCACCTGCAGGCTGCGCTACCTCAAGGTAACGCCGCCTCACTGCGTGTTCCTGCTGCAGAGTGCATGGGTGTTCATGCAGGTTCTGGTTCTGGTTAGATTTCAGGGAGCAGAGGCCCTGTAGGAACCAGTAACATCGAGGAGAGCAGTCTCCCCTTCGACCTGTCGGTGTTCAAGTCCCTGCTGCAGATTGAGGTAACTTCAGCTCCCACAATGCTTCAGCAGGACGACCGGCGTGAGATCTGAGAACATTTAACTCCTGATGTTCTCCAAAGTTCCGACGATGGCTCCGAGACGTCGACGACGGCTCCGAGACGTCGACGACGTCCCAGAGAGTTTGATCATGTTTGTGCTGAAAGCGTCTCTTTGTCTCCATCCTCAGATCAGCGACTGCAGCTCGCAGCAGATCCAGGGTCTGCCATCCCTGAGGGCCAGCCTGGCTACGCTGAGCCTCCACCGCTCCACTGAGTCCATGATAGTGAGTCCGTCCAGAACCTGAAGCTAGAACCTGGAGCCTGGGTCCAGATGCACCAGAACCTGAACCTGTGATCTCGTCTCTCCCTCCAGTCCATCCTCGTCCCAGAGGCCAGTGAGTTTCCACAGTGGGAGCCTGAGGGGGCGGAGCCTGGCTGTCCTGTCACGGCACTGGTTCCTGTCTGGAGACACCTGACCACGCTGGACATGAGCCACAACTGCATCGGCGCCGTCGACGACTCAGTGGTGAGTCAGGG